CTCCACAGCTGTTTTGTGGTGGCTGTGCCAGCAGCACGTGCAGCTCAAGAAGTGCAAGCCCACACTGCTGGACTGGATCAGGAAATAGAACTGGAAAGGCAAGCACCTGGCAGGGGAGGGGCTGGAGGAAGCTACTGAGGAGGCGAGTGTGGAAAGGCAGATGAAAAGGGCTAGGATAACCACTAAGGAAAGCAACTCCTTCCTTACCCTTCCTGCCCAGGTCAGTGGGGGAAGGACCTGCTCTCTTCAAAATCAGTGAATGAGACTGTTTGGTGGTGAAGGAAAGGAATATGATTCAGAAATCTCTTGACGGTTACCTCTGAAGCCAAGCACCTCAGATGACACACATCTTTCCCTACTACATATAGCTTTAAAAAAAAAAAAAATTATAACCTTATTTGGTGCTGAACTCATTACACACATCTTAATTTTCTGAGTTATGCAACCTATTTGAATGGCAGCATAGAGTTGAAAAATGAGTCTAACTTCAGAGATTACACAACATGGTGACTACAAAATGGGCGGAAACAAAAGCAGGAGCATTCTCTTGGATTATACAGCTAATAACATGAATATGTTTGATGGGAGTAGTGGTGGAAAGGTTTCAAGCTTGTCCCCTGATCTTTCCTTCTTGGCAAACGTTTTCAATAGTCCTATGGCACCGTAGGATAAGCACTCGACCTTAAGGTCAGTTTGAACCACAAGGTTGGCAGTTCAAACTCACCAGCCGTTCCTCAGAAACCCTATACAAGGCTGCTATGAGTCAGAATCAACTCATCGGCTTTACCAACAACATGTCTTTCTTCAATAGTCCAGAAGTACTTCACACTTATACAGAACTTCAAATCAACACATTACAAAGCAATGAGTAGAGCTATTTTACCTTGCTTTCTTTTTCATTTGTATGAAAAGGTCATTAAGATTTAAGATTCAACAATATAATCTCACTCTGAGTTTCATCATATTCTCTGAATTTTACTTTTCATCATATTCAGGGAGATGAAGTATAACTTGTCATTAAAATAAGAATTACATATCCCATCTGGTTTTTGTTTGTTGTTGGGTTGTTATTTGAGGGAGGACTAAATGGTTAAATTAAGGGCTAGTTAAAGACGAAGTAAAATTGTCAGCACAGGAACTTTCAGAGGTTGTAAAGTGCAATATTTGAACTAGAATTGGTCATCACTTAAATTTTTGTGTTCCTCAGTTTTCTTCTCTATAAAATAAAAGGGGAGCACAACAGTCCTATGAAGCAAGTGGCAGGCATGGTGGTGGTGGTGTGCTGTGGAGTCGGTTCCGACTCATAGCAAACCTGTACAGGGTTTCATAGAGACCTTGTACAGGGTTTCCTAGGCTGTAAATCTTTACGGGAGCAGAAAACCTCATCTTTCTCCTGAGGAACAGCTGGTAGTTTTGGACTGCTGACCTTGAGGTTCACAGCCCCATTCTATTCATAACCACTACACTAGCAGAGCTCCTTAGTGGAAGATATTGTTGTTGTTGTTGTTGTTAAGTGCCGTCGAGTAGGTTCCGACCCATAGCGACCCTGTACAGGGTTTCCGAGGGTGTAAATCTTTACGGGAGTAGAAAGCCTCATCTTTCTCCCGCGGAGCGCCTGGTAATTTCGGACCGCTGACCTTAAGGTTCACAGCCCGATTCATAACCACTACGCTACCAGCAGTTAGAAAAGCCTTAAGAGTTAGGTTTTGCTTCAGATCCCAGGCCTGTCATTCACTGTGTGACCGTAGACTTGTTGCTTTAAAATGCTGTGCTTCACTTTCTGGTGCCACAAATGGTTAACATCTGTGCAGTGTCACCAGAGGAAACAGCGCCCTGTGTTCGTTCAGCACAGGTACTTACTTACTTGCCATTCCAAGCACCTGCATCTTAAATGGCCCCTGGATCAACACATGTGAGAGTATTAGTCATTGCCTGAACGAACACAGGGCTATCAGAGAGGCTGCTTCTGAAAAGAGTCCCTTTAAAGATTGACAGGCTTGGAAACCTTAAGGAGCCGTTCTACTCTGCTCTATAGGTCGGCTGTAAATCGGAATCGACTTGATGACAGAGGATTGTGCAAGCTGGACTATACTCCAGGGCTGTAAAAATGTTGGGTAGATTGGGCAGATCTGAATCTGAGCAATCCTATAATCGCTGACGGGAAGGGGAAGAGGGTCAATCTGGAAAACAGTGGTTAACACAGAAAAGTGTCCACCTTTTGTCGTTGTCTTTTTAACGCCACCTTGCTCCACACCACACCAGCTGTCCCGGGGGTGGGGGAATCAGTAAGAAACAACTAACTGCTCAGACTTGTCGTGGTGTGGGCCTACCCAGAGGCTTGGGCTTTATTTTAATTTCGAGGAGCTATAAACAGAGACTCGGTTGCGCACTGTTCCAAGTCAAAAGGCCCGCTTTCAAGTCGAAGCGAGTTCCTGAGCAATACTTGCCTGAAACTGGGTCGGTCACCCGCCCTCGCTGGCGGCTAGGAGAGGACAGAGACAAGACACTACGAACCGTTCGGGGATGCGCCACCGGTCGCCACTAAGGCCCGGGGCTCTGCATGCATGGCGACCCTGGCCGCAGTATCCCAGCATCCCCACCCTTATCGCGTCTGGAAAAGTATCCCACGCTGCGAATCAGCAACTGATAAAACTAAGTAGCCGGGCTGGAGGAGTGCGCCCCCGGACCTTGCAGGAGCTTAGAGACTTGAGATTAGAGGAGGAGGAAGAGCCCAAGGCAAGCAGTTGATAGATGGGCGCCCAGATCTAGGAGCGGTTGGGCAACACATGAGGCCCCCAACACCAGCAGCGGTCCCAGAAAAGGGGAAACGTTGAAAAGTTGAGAAGTGCGTAACAAACCAAACAGTACAGGCACCCGCCTAGGTTTCCCTGTGATCGTTGGGGTCTCCCAGTCCTGCTGTTATTCTAGAACTCCACAATATACCCGGTTTAAGGCTTGGAAGCCGAGCAAAGTGAGGGACGACAACAGGGAGGGAGAAGGAAGGAATGGGTGGGAAACCAGGAGATGGGAGACAGCGGACGCCGGCGGGAACGGGCTTGGAGGGTTTTCAATTGTACTCCTCGTCCTCCCACACCTGAGTTCTCGCAGCACGGTCAAGGCCGCAAGCGCAACGAGTCTAGCACTAGTTAGCTGAGCCTCTTCCCCTAGTAACCCATGGAAGCCAGGGAGGAGTAGGTGGGCATCGCAATCACGTTTGCCAGGGATGGAAAAGGGGATGGTCCCGGCGGGAGTTTTCGGGGCAGGTGAACGGATCGCAGGCAAGGCAGGAGTGGGTCGGCTGGGTATCGTGAGGGCGTCCGCGTCCCAGCGCGCGAGCCCCGGGCGGGCTAGACCTCTTCCCCAACTTTGAGTAAGGGGAGGGGGATTTGCAAAATTAAAAAAAAAAAAAGTTGTTGAACTTTCCCCCCAACTCTGCCTAGGGGCGGGACCGGAGGGCGGCGCCTGCACCCTATTTGCCGGCGGCTCGTGGCGGGAGGCTGGGATTGGCGCGCCCGGTCCGGGGTCGGGACTGGCGGCGTGGGGGAGGGGAGCGGCCCTCCCCGCCCGCGGGATCTGCTCGCGCTGGGAGCGGGTTAATTTCAAATCGGGTACTTGACTGCTCCCGGACGGTCACGTTGCCTGTGTCAGCCCGCCAGCCCGCCAGTCCGGGTCCCAGCGTTTCCCTCCCGCACCCACCTCGGCGCGGCGTAAGGACGGACTGACGACCCCACACGCGGGCTCCAGGGCCTGAAAGGGGTAGCGGTGCCCAGGAGTCCCAGCTCAGCCCCCTCTGGCTCACACCGTGTGGTGAACTGACAGGTCAGTGGGACGCAGAGGGAACCGAAGCCCGGGCGGCCGGGAGCCGGGGACCGGCTGGGACGGGCGGTGGAGGCAGCGGCGGCCGTTTCCCGCCTCCCGCTCCGCCGGGGGCCGTGGAGGGAGGAGCTGGGCTCCCGCGCAGAGGGGCGAGGGGGAGGGGCGGGGATGCCGTGGTTCCGGGCACGGGTTTGCCCGCGCTCAAGCCCCGCGCTGAGAAGGGGCGGTGCTGGCCACGGTCCGGCTTTCCGCGCCAAATTTTTAAATCGAAGGCGGAAGGTCCGGGACCGCCCCTGACGCCTCCAACCAATCGCTAGCCCACGACCGGCTCTCTGATTGGCCGGGAGTCGTTTCCCTGGAAACCGCGAAGATGCTGTCCAGGAACTGTCGGGCCCGCGGCGGGCTGACTGGGCGGGGGAGGGGCAGCTGACCCGGCCGAAGGGGGAAGTGCGCGGGACTCGAGGAGGTGGCGGCAAGGGGACTGCACCTGGCTGCTCTCCTGGGCAAATTAACCCTTCGGTGGAGGGGAATTAGTATCGTGCCGCGAACTGGTCACACGCAAAATGTGAACATACTTTGCGTCTTTAAGGAATTTTTTAAATTTAAAAGTCTTAATCATTAAAGCGCTCTTTAAATGCCCAGCAGTACCTTTGGCGCCTAGGAAATGAATTTGGAAGATTCATATCAATGTCCCGAAACTTTGCTGCTGAGCGCGACACGTGTGTGTAAGGGGGGAAATTCAGGAATCTGGATGCAGACTTGTTACCCAGATATTCCAGGTCGTGTCTGCTCCGCCTGAATCTGGACTCCGGGACACTCAGTCCCGAGACTTGGTATGAGAACAGGTGGGTGCTTGCTGCGGTCTATTCCAGGATGGTGGGTATGAAATCTGGCCTGCCTTCTCTAAAGATGGGGGAAGGCTGTCGCTGGAAATTCCGAGGCTTACCCGAAGCCTCATGGCAGTGGGTCGGTTCTGCTATATGATCTGGGTTTGCTAGATAATTTTCTGACCTTTTTTAAAGCTCATTGACTAGTGGGGCTCTATCTCTAGTCGGGAATAGAATTTATATCTAGTCTGTGGGGGTTTTTTTCCCCTTTGTGTGATCAGCGGTGTCTGTGGATGAGTTTTCAACAAAAAGCTTCTTGGTTCTTATTTTTCCCCAACTTTTTCTATTTTCTTTAAGGATACTAATTTTTTTTAGTAGCATTGCTTGGACTACTTGATCCATTGGGATTTTGGAAGAAATGTCAGATTTTTTCATTTTCAAAGAAACTCTAAATGTGTGAGAAATTTACAGAATGGAAAATGAAAAGGTACTCTTTCCTTTCAGTATTCACCCTTAAATGCAGTGTAATCCTAATGTAACAATTTTTCAATATCCAATACTTTATTAATACAATGTTTTTTTTTGTTGTTAACCTTTGTAAAAATCTAGAAGGAAAGGAAATTTAATGTGGAAGATAGGGAGATTTGCTTAAAGTAATCGTTTTAGTTTTTAATGGGCTGGTGGAAGTCTCAGAAAAGCAGAGACACTGTTGTAATGTGCCATGGAGTTGATTCCGACTCATAGCGACCCTGTACAGGGTTTCCAAGGCTGTAAATCTTTACAGGAGCAGAAAGTCTCATCTTTCTCCCGCAAAACAGCTGGTAGTTTCGAACTGCTGAACCTGAGGTTAGCAGCCCAATTCGTAATTACTACACTACCAGATAGTACAGTCTTTTAAAAAAAAAACAAAAAAAAATAATTTTTTTTCTTCCTTTTTCTTTTCTTAAGAAAGTAAAAAACTTTTTTTAAGAAAGTAATATCTGTTAGCTGCATTGTGATATTTCTGAGGATTCTTGAACATAGGAATTCAAAAAGGACATTTGACACAATATGAGATTGAATTTATTTCTAAAGTTAATTTTTTGCCTGTCAGCGTCCTCAGCTATGGGAGCTGGAAAACACTTTAAAAGTAAACATTTTGTAAAATTATAAAAACAATTATCAATCAATGGGTTATATCTTGATTGGTGTCTTAATATTGATAGATTAAAACCCAAATAAATTTATATACAAATTTCTTAAAAGTTGTCAGTACTGGTCAAATAAACCAGTTGGGATATTGCTCCTGATGGTTCCAGGCAAAGGACAGGAGCCTTTAGAACAATCCCACTCTTGGCCTTAGCACATGCTCTCAGGCATTTCTCATTGAACTCATCCTACTGACTTCTAGGCAAAAGCACTATACTTAGAATGAGAAGATCCTATTTCAAGGACTTCAGCCTTTATTTCAATTTCTGCTAAATGAGAATAAGACAGGTGGTAAAATGACAAGTGGACAACCACTTGATCAATCCTAAAGTGTCACATATAAACTGGTCCCATGAATTCATACTTGAGTTCTTAATGAAATATTAGTTGGTCTCTCATGAGTTTCACTTACTGCCATCCCAGGCATTTCTTTGAAAACAGATGCAGGTAAAAATATATGAAGTCCCTGGTGTCCAAATATGGAAAAAAACATAGCCCGCTGCTGTCTAGTGGGTTCTGACTCAGTGAACCTGTAGGACAGAATAGAACTGCTCCCTGTTCATCTTATTTATGAACTGGTGCTTATTTACCTGTGTTTTGTAGAGTAACAGTCCCACTTCTGCCAGGAAACCAGCCTTGTGACCTTGGATAACTAATTTACTTCCATGTGACTCATTTTCTCCCTCTGCACAGTGTTGCTTTTGGTGTTAAGTATAGTGAAGTCAGTTCCGACTCATAGTGACCCTGTACTGGGTTTCCAAGGAGTGACCCGTGGGTTTGAATTGCTAACTTTGTGTTTAGCGGTCTAGTGCTTGCCCTACAGCGCCATATCAGGAGGAGTCCTGAACAGCAAGGGGACTGAATATTCCCAGAACAGACACTTCAGATCAGCAATACTGCTTTCTCAGGCATTCTTCAGCTCCCTACTGGTTACTTCTGACAAGTCTAACCATATAAGCAGAACTTGCCCTTATCTCCTTGGCTTTCTTCCACGTCACTGAGCATTTCTTGAGTAGTCATTGTAGTAGGCAAATGAACAGATTGCTGAAATGTAGGTTCTGCTTTGGAGGCGCATATTTAGTGTCGTGAATAAAAAACACTCCTAAGAGTTTTGGATCTCAAAATTCCAAGTCCTATTAGGCAAAGACTGGAGTCTTAGTATGGTGCTGTAGCATAGCATTGGACTGCTAACTGTGAGGTGGATGGTTTAAACCCACCAGTTGCGCTCCTTGGAAACCCTATACTATATTGCTATGAGTCGGAACCAACTTGATGACACTTAACAACATTAGGCAAAGCTTAGTGAAAGATATATAGGAACTCTTCTCTAAATCTAAACCTCTTCTAAAATTTAAAAATTTAAGTTGCAATCCTGATAGTGTTTTTTCCCCCTTAATTATTGAAATAAGAGATATGCATTTAGATCCATGCTTTGCTGCAGAAGTAATGGTGGTGGTGGTTCTGTGCTATGGAGTCGGCTCCCTGTACAGGGTTTCTGAGGCTGTAAATCTTTACAGGAGCAGAAAGTCTCATCTTTCTCCCATGGAATGGCTGATAGTTTCAAACTGCTGATCTTGAGATTAGCAGTCTAACTTATAACCAATATGCTACCAGAGCTCCTTTTACTGCAAAAGTAAAAATGGGAAATTTAGCTATTAGAATAACATGTGCCAAGCAATCACTGAACTATATTTATCAATTTAGGGTTCATGCGCTAGACCGCAAGATTGCTTTGAACCGCAAGGTCAGAGGTTCAAACTTACCAGCCACTCCTCGGATACTCTATACAGGGTCACTATGAGTCAGTACCAACTCAATGTCACTTCATAAAAACAGCAGCCATCTTGGTGGTGTTGCTGCCTGACCAAAATTCTATTTACTATACAATCTCTATAGTCAAAAGCCCTCTGATAAGTCCTGTTTTACAATGGCTTTTAGTTATTTAACTTTCTTTTTTTTTTTGGACCAGGAAAACCTCTTTTTTGAGCCACATAAAAAGGTACTGATGAAAACACCTCTAAAAGAATCCACGACGTCAAATATAGTGTTGGCGGAGATACAAACTGACTTTGGCCCATTAACGACGCCCACCAAGCCCAAGGAACTCTCCCAGGGTGAACCGTGGACACCTACAGCCAATCTGAAAATGCTTATCAGTGCTGCTAGCCCTGAGATCCGTAACAGAGATCAGAAAAGGGGGCTATTTGATAACAGAAGTGGGCTACCTGAGGCCAAAGACTGCTTAAATGTAGGTCTTCAAACGGCTGGGTGGAAGTTGCGGGGTGGGGGTGTTGAACACAGTTTGAAGTGCCTTCAATATAAAGCATTGTCACCTGCCAAGCACTGTTAGCCTCCTGCAGCATAGTAGAATGGCTGGGACCCCATCAAAATATAACACTTGGGATTCTGTACCTTTGCCTTACTTTTAGTTTAAGATTCCCTTTCAAACCTGCTCAACAGTTAGTACTTGCTTCTCCTGCCTTTGTTTTTCCCTATAAACTTGGCAGCTGTTGAAGCCAAGCATGGATAGAAATATTAGTCATTGACTACAAACGCCCCTAGTAAATCTGTCAGACTTTCTTTTAGAATAAAACATCATTTGCCTTTTTGTTTGTAGGAACACTTGTCTGGAGATGAGTATGAGAAATCTCAACCAAGTCGGAAAGAGAAAAGTTTAGGTTTGTTGTGTCATAAGTTTTTAGCTCGCTATCCTAACTATCCTAACCCTGCCGTGAATAATGACATCTGTCTGGATGAAGTAGCTGAGGAACTGAGTAAGTACACAAAGAACTCACTGAAATAGTTAATAATTAAAGTGACTGTATGTACTTCGTCCTTTAGAGCCATGTTCACCTGGCCAGTGTTTATACATGACACAAATATGGCCACATGGAAACACTCATAAAAACCTCTAAGATCCTATTCAGTTTACGAATATCACACATGCAGTTTCTACTTTCAGTGAAGCTTAAAACAGCTGAATAAAATAACAGCTATTGCTTCTGAGTGGCATCTCAACAGCTCACTTTTCAAAGGCAACATTGTTTTATGACTTGTATCACAAACAGCTACAAGCCTTAAATTTTGTCTTGTTCCTCTCCTGAAGAACAATGCTGGCAAATCGAATTGAGTGTTAGTAAGATTGCAGTTTACACTGAGAATCCACTTCTGTAAATGGAAGAGGAGCTCTCAGCCACTCAGAAGTCCCTGGGCCACATAAATAGTTAGCACTCAATGGCTAACTGAAAAATTGGTGGTTCAAACACACCCAATAGCACCATGGAAGAAAGGTCTGGCAATACAGGAACTTAAGATTCATTCGTGAACAAAAAGAACAAAATCTTGGATCTCGTGGACCTTACATTCTGTGGGGACAAGCAAAGACTGTAATTTATTGTTGCGTCCTGGTATGGTGCTGTGGGTTAATGTGCTGGAATGCAAAGTCAGTTTGAACCACAATGTCTGCAGTTCAAGCTCACCTGTCACTCCTAGGGAACGCTATACAGAATCACTACAGGTCAGAATCGACTTGATGGCATTTATCATCTGCCATTCAAGTCAATGCCAACTCATTGCATACCCAACTGTGTAGAGTAGAACTGCACTCCATGCATTTTCCAGTCTGACATCTGGAATCAGAAGCAGCTTGTCAGGCTATCTTTTGATATGCCTCTGGGTGGGTTTGAACATCAACCTTTTGGCCAGCAGTCAGGTGCTGAGTAATTCCAATATATATCACAAAGTAATGTGTGTTGTGGATAAAAGAAAATAACAGAATGAGAAATCAGAAGTGCTGCGGTGGGGATACTTTGCAATTTAAAACTCAGTGGGCAGGGCAGGCTTCCTTGAGGTGGTGCTATCAGAGCAGGCAAGGACTTTAACTGCTTATTGTGGCTTGGGGAAAGTTTACAAATTGGTTGTCATTCAACAATTCATACATGGGTTTTTTTCATGAGATTGATTATAATCCCACAATATAACAGCACTCTCCCCACTTCTTCCCTGGGTTTCCCATTCCTATTCGTCCTTCTTTCCTGTCCCTTCCTGCCATCTGAGCTTTGTCCCTGGGCAAATGCTGCCCTTTTGGTCTCTTATGGCTGATGGTTCTAGGAAATGCATTCCTCCCTGGTATTACTGTTCACCTTATAGGCCTGTCTGTTGAACAGAGTCTAAGGAACATAGTCTCGGGGATTCTACCAGTACCTACCAGAACAGTAAGCCTGTTTTTTTTATGATTGTGAATTTTAGTCCCCATTTTTCTCCCACTCTGTAGAACCTTCTATTGTGATCCCAATCAGAGCTGTAGGTAGTGGTTGCTTGTTAAGCATGTCGGGGTGGTTCTAACTCATGGTGACCCTGCATAGGGTTTCCAAGGAGCAGCGGGTGGGTTTGAACTGCTGACCTTGCAGTTAGCAGTCCAGTGCTTATCCTAGAGCACCACGCCAGGACTCTTGGTGTAGTGGCAGCCAGGCACCATTTAGTTCTCTGGTGTCACGGTCATGCAGGCAGGGCTCACATGACCCATTAGACCTTTGGACCTTTGGTTACATGAGTCTTTTCTTCACTCTTCGCTTTGGATTGAGAGAGACTAATAGTTGTGTCTTAGATGGCCAGTTGCTACTCACCAAAGTAGGAAGCAGAGCATGTCTTTGTGCACTATGTTATACCAAATGACCTTGATGTCCCCTCAGACCATGGTCCTCAGTCCCCAGGCCCAGCAACTCATTTCTTTAAGATGTTTGGTTATGGCTAAGATGTTTTCATCACTTCATCTCCTATATGATCTGCTATATATGTGTATATTTTTGCAGCACATATAAATACATCTGCAGAAATATCTTCTGCCAAACATATATATATATGTATATATACATTATATGTATAATCCCTCTGTTCAGCTTGTATGTCTTATCTGTGTGTCTACTTGCAGATTATTGTTACTACTATTATCACAAGATTAGGTATTTACCTGAGTTGCCTTTTATACTTGCACCTCCCAGTTACCATCCTTTGCTGTGGTCATTTTGTACAGACTTCCCCCTTATTGCATATGGCCCTTCCCTTCAGTCAAGTTCATTCACGTCTAATCTTTAGTTCAGTGATTGTCTCTCCCTACCACTCTCATCCCATCCATGGTAACCATCAAAGAAGGTTTCTTTCTGTGGGTAAACCAAGAGCAAGAGTTTCAAAGAAGCAAGGGAATAAACTATGAGGACAATGGAGAAAGGGCTTCAGGAAGGCAGAGGAAACAGCCAATGCAAAGGCCTCCAGGTAGAACCATATCTGACATATTCCAGGGACAGCCAAGAGCCAGTAGAATGTACCTTTCTTAAATAATGTTTTATAAATGCTTTTCCAGAGAGGCTACATTTAACCAAGTCTTGAATTTAAATCAATATTGAAAGTGTGTTTGAGATGTTGAACAGAGAATGCTAGCATTGAAGAATATTGAAAACCCAATCTGAACACACTGATGGAGGTTATAGAATTACTAGTATTACATTGTTAATGCTAGCCACCAAACAAGCACAGTGAGACTCAAAGGATATTGTTGTTGTTGTTGTTCAGTGCCATAGAGTCGGTTGCCACTCATAGTGACCCAGTATAGGGTTTCCAAGGAGTGGTTTAAACCACTCACCTAGCTGTTCAAACCAACCATGCAGTCTAACACGTTAACCAACAATTCCACACCAGGACTCCAAAGAAGGACATCTATATTTCTTATTTTATATCTGGGTTTTTTAAAACGATGTCACAGTTGTGTACTGTTGTGAAATCTCGGAATACTTGGTACCTCTTATATAACTATCATAGGTAGCTCAGCAGGGGAGAGTGTGGTAGGGTAACAGGAAACATGGATTTAGAGTATTAAAATCCTAGTTTACCACTTACTAGAAATCCTTTGTGGTTATTGTTAAGTGCCAAGGAGTCTGGTCCTGTATAGGGTCTCCAAGGAGCAGCCAGTGGGTTTGAAACATGAATCTTTCGGCTAGTAGTCCAGTGCTTATCCTAGAGTGCCACAGGAGTGCTTAGGTGGTACAAATAGTTAACACACTTGACTGCTAAACAAAAGTTTTACATAAAGAATTCGAGCATCCACTGATTTTCATAGTGTGAGAGTGGTCCTGAAGTTCGTTCCCTCTCGTACCATAAGAGACAAAGCCCTTCCATTCTAAACATATTTAAAAATCTGACCCAATATATGATTGTGTGTTCTTTGTAGATGTTGAGCGCCGGCGCATTTATGATATCGTGAATGTTCTTGAGAGCTTGCACATGGTGAGCCGCCTCGCCAAAAACAGATACACCTGGCACGGGCGGCACAATCTCAACAAAACACTTGGGGCTTTGAAGAGCGTCGGGGAGGAGAACAGATATGCAGAGCAGATCATGATGATCAAAAAGAAAGAATATGAACAAGAATTTGATTTCATTAAGAGTTACAGTATAGAGGATCATATCATCAAATCAAACACTAGCCAAAATGGACAAGCAGACATGTGTTTTGTTGAACTCCCTGGAGTGGAATTTCGGGCAGGTAAGAGGCAATGTTGAGAACCCCAGTTTGCATGCATTTCTTTTAGGTCTAAAGAAAAAAAGATTCAGTAAAGAGCTCTGCCCTAAAGTTACCAGGGAGGTTTCCAAAAGCTTCTGGAAAATTCCATTCTTTTTTCATTGCCTTTTTCTACAAATTTTTTGAAGGTCCCTCACCTCGCTGCCTTTGATATTAAAAAGCTATTATTGTTAACTATATGTTCAGGCTGTGGTATGTGTAGCCTTGTGGCTTTAGAAGTCATGTGTCCCTTCATTCATTTGAATTCTCTAATCCTCATCCTTCTCCAAAGGTTCTGTCAACAGCCGCAAAGACAAGTCTTTAAGAGTGATGAGCCAGAAATTTGTGATGTTGTTTTTGGTGTCAACGCCTCAGATAGTAAGCCTCGAAATTGCAGCCAAGATTTTAATTGGGGAAGACCATGTGGAAGATTTGGATAAAAGCAAATTTAAAAGTAAGTGCAATGGACTGGCGTAGACTATTGCATTTTGGACCTATTCTTAAAAGGCTGAGTCTTATTTATAAACTGATTTCCAAATATATTTGGTACATAAACAGGTCGTCTCTAATTACTCTTTTATATTTTCACTTCTTCCCCAAAGCTATTCTAATACTGCTGCCTTAATTATGTGTTGTTATTTTTGTTAAATACCATCAGTCAGTTCCGACCCATAGCGACCCTGTATAGAGTTTCCAAGGAGCAGCTGGCGAGTTTAGACTGCCAATTTTGCGGTTCAAACCAACTTTGTAGTCCAGCGCATTAACCCACAGCGCCACACCAGGACTCCCTAGTTATCTAGTGCTGCTATAATTAGAAATACCATAAATGGATGGCTTGAACACACAAACTCTTTCTCTCACAGTTTAGGAGGCTAAAAGTCCAAATCCAGAGTGCTTACTCTATGGGAAGGCTTTCTTTCTCTATTGACTCTGGAGAAAACTCCTTGTCTCTTTTCAGCATCTGTGGGCCCAGCATTCCTTGGAGACCTCCCTGTGTTTTAGCATCAATCTTCCTCTGGATCTAGGAGCTTCACAGTGCAGCCCCCCACCCCCACCCCCGTCTAAAGGACACATTCCCAGCTCTTCTTTCTTGGTGATACTAGGTCCCTCTCAGCTCTGCTTGCTTGTTTAATCGCTCTTATTTTTCAAAAGAAATTGACTCAAGATACAACCTAATCCTGCAGATTGTATCTGGCCTCATTATCATCACAGAAGTGAGGATTTACAACACAGGATAATCACATCAGATCAGGGCTGATCACATCAAATCTCACTGTGGGGGAGGATTGCATCATATTAGATCTCATTATGGAACTGATTGTTGTTATTTTTGAGTCAGTTCTGACCCATAACGACCCTGTATAGGGTTTCCTAGAAGCAGCCAGTGAGCTTGAACCACTAATTTTTCAGTTCAAACCCACTTTGCAGTTCAGCACGTTAACCCACAGCACTACACCAGGACTCCCAACTGATTACTACATCTTAAAGTGCTAAACCACCGAGAAGCCTAGCTCAGCCAAGTTGACACAAAACTATCACAACTGCTTTAGCTAACTTATAGGATTCTAAGATACACGTAACTTTTATCTGACACATTCACTTACCAACAGTTCCTGAAAAGTTACCCCATTTGACACTGGTAACATTGTCGCCGTTTTACAGACCCAGATGGTCAGTGTCTGAAGTTGAAAAGGGTAATAAGTTGTATTTACTCTTTACTCTTTCCACTGACTCATATGTACAAAAGCAGAAACAACTTGTCTAAAACTGGGCCCTGAAATGACTGGCCCCATATGATAACCACAAGGTCCACGGTCTGAGCAAGCCAGCCACTTCTCGGGAGAAAGATGAGGCTTTCTGATCCCATGGAGATCTAAAGCCTCAGAAAACTTTATACAGAGTCGCGATGAGTCGGCTAAACCATTAAAAAAAATGGTTTTAGCCAGACTATCTGCTAAATAAATGCCTGCTTGGAAGTTGGACTAGGTTCTTAAGGCATAACTGTGCCCTCACCTCATTCCAGATTTTGCAGGTGGAAAGGGGACATGGAAAGAGTGGCTTAACTAATGTAGAGTTGCTTGCTGCCAAAAACACACCCACCTCTGCTGGGAGTATCAGCAAACCACAAGGAAGTGCCAGCTTGGACACAGGCCTCTTGAAGCCTCAGGAAGAACTGATGGGATCTTGCTATATAGTTAAGGAGAGCCACCCCAAGCAATCTCAGAGCCTGTGGGGCACTCTTGGGGTCTGTTACTCATAACCTCCTTCCCATCAGTATAAAGCTGTTCTAGAACCCCAGGCTGATAGTGTAGCTACAAAGACAAAATTAAGTAGAGAGTAAAAACAGTCATGCTGGTAATTGATTTGGCAGATCTAATTTGGCAATGGACCTCAAAGTCAGTTTGAACGGCAAGATCAGCGGTTCAAAGCTCACCAGCCACTCCTTGGAAGGCCTATACAGGGTTGTTATGGGTCGGAACCGACTCGACGGCAATTAACAACAACAAACACAATCATGCTGGTAATTGACTTGGCAGATCTAATTTCAGAAAACATATCCTGATGCTGCTAATGGGCTGCCTGCTGCTTCTGAGTTTGTCAGTTTTCGACTCTCCATTTCACTGTTTAGACACAGCCATAGACATGGATTCCAGGAACTTGCTGAAGGGAATTCATTCAGAACCTCTGGCATGGTTATAAAGAAGGGGCTCAATTTGTAAGCTTGTACTATAAAGGCAGAGGCAAAGACAGACTTTTAAAAATGAAATTTTTAAAGCTATATAAGCTTTCTAGAATTAACAAACCGATAACATACTACATAAGGGCAATATAAAATTTACAAATTTTGACAGACTTTAGAGTTTTGTATGCTTATGATGTTAAATTTAATTGTTACACAAACTATCACAAACAGGAAAGTAAATTATCACTGATGCTGTAGTTCTTTTTGCTTATAATTATAAAATTCTTCTGAATTCATTAGAAGACACCCAGGAATGGTGACTTTTATTTAAAAAATATCTAACATAAAGGTGATCTCATGAAGTCTTTTATCTTCTTTCCACACATACTTTTGTCGTTTCAGAATTTGATGCCAGCAGTAGCTGAGTCTTTTAAATATTTAATATTATCCTTTTGTTTTAATTAAAACAGTCTCAAGAGAATAGCTTAAAAAGGAGTCATTTTTCTCTGTCTAACATTGATGGTTAGGATAGCTCTTGGACTATCCATGAAGTGTTTATGAAGCAAAGTCCTTCAATCTTTCGTTATGTGATTGACTGGCATATATACTTTTCTTTCCAAGCAAAAATCAGGAGGTTGTATGACATCGCGAATGTTCTGAGTAGCCTGGATCTTATCAAGAAAGTGCACGTAACAGAGGAAAGAGGCCGGAAACCAGCTTTTAAATGGACGGGCCCAGAAATCAGCCCAAATCCCAGTGGTATGTTTTCTGGTTTTTCTTTCAATCTTTCCTTATTTTGAAATATTTAGCAATATTCTCCCTTCTACTTCCCATCCATGGAAGGAGCATCCACAAATAGTGAAGCAGACAAAGTTGAGCTACTCGCTCCATCAGCAGCTCAAGATCCATCCCACTACCCACCCTGTGCCCAGGAAGTAAAGTCTTACGTGAAGGGATTTGAACGAATTGAAAATGACACAAAACATAAGCTACTGTTGCTATTATTAAGTTACCCAGAGATCACATGATATCTGTGCAGAGAGAATGTCAAATGAGTTCATATTTGTGAAATGGTACCTAGTAGTCCCCATCATATCGAAAGGTTGAAGGTTTGAATCCATTCCAAGGTACCTCAGAAGAAAGGTCTGGTGATCTAATCTACTTCTGAAAGATCACAACGTTTGAAAAATCTCATGGAGTGCAGTTCTACTTGAAAACACGTGGGGTTACCATGAGTCAGAATTGACTCAACGGCAACTGGTTCGTCCCCATCTCACTTAACGACATTCTGCTTTCCCCTGGAGGTTCCCCACTCAGAAACAACAGACAATGGAGAGAATGTGGGCCAGAGAGGCAGAGGCAGGCCTGAGTTCTAGTCCCAGCTATGCTGCTTTTTAACTGTATGGCCTCAACAGAGTTACTTAACTCCCCCAAAACTCAGTTCCTCACCTGTGAAATGGGAAGAATGAATGATGACTACTTTGTAGAATTATTTTGCTTTTGGATTTCATCTCAAAGAGAGGTGTTTAGGATATAGGGTTTGTAATCTCAGACAGAGGTAAGTGGATATAGGGTTTGTAACATAGTCACTGGGGCCAGAGTGACCAGTGTCCTATCCCAGCTACACCTCCTACGTGCTGAGACGATGAGTCAGCTGATTAATGTTTCTGAGATCAGTGCCCTCAGCTCTGACATGAGCATGACTTTATGAGGAGGCCCTACCTCTTGCAGTGGTCGTGAGGCATACCATGTTTCATCAGATGTCAGACTAGACTCCACTGATTATGAGATACCCAACTTTTCACTTATCACTAAAAGAAAAAAAATTTACACTAGCTCACCACTGATTATAAGCTAGTGTCTTTTCAAGAGATGTTAAAGTGTAAAATACTGTCTCAGAATCCATTTAATATCAACCAGGAAAAGTGTGTCAAACATATAGTCAGTGCTCTGTAGCTGCTTTATTATCTTCCTAATCATCCTCAGAAGTGCACTTTGATTTTGCACTGTGGGTCAATGCGCTGGCCTGCAAAGTCAGTTTGAACAGCAAGGTCAGCAGTTCAAGCTCACCTGCCGCTATGAGTCGGAACCTACTCGGTGGCACTTAACAACAAAAGGAAGCCAAATCACCCATGACTTTTTTTTTGTTTTGGTGAAAATACAGTTGCTCCTGCACACCTTAGTGTCCCTCATATGAAGATTCAACCAACCACAGATCTGAAATATTTGTGGGGGAAAACATTCCAGAAAGTAAAACTAGAATGTACCTGATGTGGAACACTGCGCTGACTCAGGCAGATGAGATGATGTAGTGAGCCGCTGTTACCTCCCTCACTTCTCACACCTGCAGTTTCTCCAGCAAGCACTCTGCTCTCTTCTCACTACTTGTGTTATGTATACCTTCTGTGTCTGGGGAAAAATGGCTCCTAAAGAGCAATTAAGTGGTGAAAGCAATCCCTCAGAGGCTATGACATGGTTTTTTACATTGTATAAAGTTTTACAAGTCGTTTAGTCGTCATTAAGTGCCCTCGAGTTGGTTCTGATTCATAGAGACCTTGCGTGGGGTTTCTGAGCAACGGCTGGCGGGTTTGAACCACCAACCTTGCGGTTAATAGTCCAGTGCTTATCCAACAAGCTATCTAGAGATGACTTCAAGTATACATAAGGATGTGCTTAGGTTATATGCAAATACTATATTACTTTAAGGGGCTTGGGCATTTGAAGTGTTTAAGGGACTGTACGCACAATGCAAACTACACCCATTCAGCCTTTCCTCCGTGTGCAGTTCAGTGACATTGGTTACATTCTTCACATTGTATCAGCATTCTTGCTATCTCTACCCTTACTGCTTCACCACCATTGACTGGGATCCTGCTTCCAAAACCTCCCTGTGTTGTTTTTTGGTTTTTTTTGGTTTTGTTTTTGTTTTTTTTGAGTTACTGTTGCTAATTTGATCTCATATAGATAATTGTTTACAAGAGCATACTCCTCAAGGCATACATTTTAGTTGAACTAAACTGTTGTTTAAAGGTGACGTCACAGAGTAGTTTCAATTCTGGGTGTAAAGATTATCTCAGGATAGCTTTGGTGGGTCCAGTGAGTCTGCATACCACCTGTGTTTTAATCCACTGCCCTTTTCTTTCAGGTCCCAGCCCAATCCTTCCTTTTGCCCCCTCAGATTTGGAGGTGAGGCGGTCTTCAAAAGAAAACTGTGCCAAAAACCTCTTCTCTACACGAGGGAAACCAAACTTTACTAGACACCCATCTCTTATCAAGCTAGTCAAGAGTATAGAAAATGATCGGAGAAAGATCAATTCTGCTCCCAGTAGCCCCATCAAGACCAATAGAGGTATGTCCTCAGCGCTGTCACAGTCAGCTGGGAAGAGTTTCTTCTCATCTGCTATCTAAGCTAATTTGATCCCTGAAGTACTTTAAATTTAGAGAATTGTTTGTCTCCTTATACCTAAACACTCTTGAAGCCTAACTTCTATATGAACTTTAAGAATTAAATAAAAAGCCATTGTGGGGTTTATGAATTCACTGGCGTCTCCGAGTATGCAAAGAGTTAACATGCTCAACTTCTAACCAGAGGTTGGAGCTTCGATTCCCCCAGAAACACCTTGGAAGAAAGACCTGGCTATCTATTTCTAAAACATCAGCCATTGAAAGCACAGTTCTACTCTGCCATGTAGGGTTGCCATGCATTGGAATCCACTTGACAGCAACTTGTATCTTCTAATTGCTGTGTAATTTAGGGGTGGGGGAGAGGGATGTTTTCTGCTCCTTTGACTTCAGTGCAATTTCGTCTATATAAACCTTTTTCTTTAGCTTTTTCTCACCCTCCACCCCCTTTTCTATTTTACCAGCTGAGAGTTCTCAGAATTCAGCACCTTTCCCAAGTAAAATGGCTCAGCTTGCTGCAATTTGCAAAATGCAGTTAGAAGAGCAATCAAGGTAGGTTGACTATTCTCTTTAGTAACAGGATGAATTACTTTTCCATTGTGTGATTAGGATTACTTATTTTATATAAGAATAGACATTCTCCTTGGACACTGACAAGATAAGCATTTCCTTAAATCATACTCACTCATTATAGAAACTATCTGCTAGTTTCATAAAAGCATGGCTCTAATCTGAGGTTTAAAGTGGTAGTCATTTCAGAACAAAATTGTGTTTCTACTGTGTCATTTTTTTCAATCTTGCCTTTCAGTGAACCCCAAAAAGTGAAAGTACAGCTAACAAGATCTGGACACTGCAGACCAATGGCCCCTCTGAACACCCCATCAAATGCTGAACTGGAGCAAACAGCGCCATCGCTCATTCAGCCCCTGGGAGTGCTCCCCCTCATCCCCAGCACACTGTCACCAGCCATGCCTCTGATCCTACCTCAGGTCCCTTCAGGCCCATCCTATGCCATCTACCTGCAACCCACCCAAGCCCAAACCATGACGCCATCCCAAGGCCCAATGGTCGGCCCCATCTCCTCCTCTAAAGCTACTGCATTAAAGGATTCCATAGATGTCAGCACTGAGAAACTACTCAGCGATTCTGGAAAATCAAGCGCCTCCATCAAACCTGGGAGCTTGCTGCCAGCACCAGAGAGACAAGCTGCAAACAACAGAGACAGGGAGCCTGCTGGAGAAAGAGGCTCAAAGAGGACACCCATGCCTGAGGACAATGGTTCCCAAAAGAAATTTAAAGAAGACCTGACAGGACTTGAAAACGTCTCCACAGTAAGTACAGCCTTGAGCTCTGCTAAGCTGTTGCAATTCCCTGGTTGATTAGAGAACTTGGTGGCTTGCGAAATTCGCCAGAGTAAAAAGCAGCGGCCTCTGTGAAGACATCGAACAGTTTCTTAGCATCCTATAATCCAAGCAAGGCCCCAGACAGCTAATCCCCTGGCTGGGATGATGGCAAGGATATTTTTAAACTTTGGAGGAAGGGATTATTTGTCTCTTTTTAAAGCACCATGAGTGTTAGCCCTTGAGCCCATTTCTCCCTCCCATACAGGAACACCTGTCATGAGAGAGTCTTAAATAATTTACCAGCAGACGTAATCCTGGATGAATGGATGGATGGAATACAGAGAGCCTCTAACTTCTGCTTTCTGAGTCACTGCCTAATGTTTATTTGATGCCATGTAACTGGACTCTCTTGCCTAGAAAATAAGTTACTCTCTTCTTTCATTTTATACCTAAAATCCAACACAAAATTTCTCTTTTGTCAAAGTAGAAAATTCAAACTGATCTTGAAAAATTGTAGGTATATTTTGATGCATTGAGCTCTAGAGATTTTCACTTTCTAGATGATTATTTTCCCCCTCCTAGAAGATTAGTTCAGGAAGGAATGAGCCTTTCTGAGGGCCCTGGTGGCACAGCTGATTAAGCACTGGGCTGCTAACTGTAAAGTCAGCGATTCAAACCCACCAGCCGTTCCATGGGAGGAAGATAAAGGCTGTGTCTGCTCCTCTAAAGATTTACAGTCTTGACAACCCTGGGTATCAGTTCCACTCTGTTCTCTAGTGTCACTGTGAGTTGGAATCGACTCGATGGCAGTGAGTTTGGGTTGTTTGTATTTTATGATGACTGGGTGGTTCAAATGATTAATGTACTCAGCTGCTAATGGTAAAGCCGACAGTTTGAGTTCGCTCAGAGGTGCTTCTGAAGAAATAATCCACCATTGTTTACAATGACACAATGACACACGTGGGGGTCACCATGAGTCGAAATCGACTCAATAGCAACTGGTACCTCCATACCAATTCATAGGCACTTGTACATACATTGTCTCATTTCCCCCCTTAGGACATTTACAGAAGACAGACATTATTGTGCAATTAACCAGCGTAGTGGTTACGAATCGGGCTGCGAACCTTAAGGTCAGCAGTTCGAAACTACCAGCCGCTCCGCGGGAGAAAGATGAGGCTTTCTACTCCCGTAAGGATTTACACCCTCGGAAACCCTGTACAGGGTCGCTATGGGTCGGACCCGACTCGATGGCACTTAACAACAACAACAACAACAACATGTGGAAGCAGAAGATAATCTCTCATTTTGTCCCTGCTGTTAACTCAAGTTCTTTTACTTCTATCTTATTTTTCCACTCTCTCCTCATCCCCTACTGGGTGTAAGGCACTATGCTCAAATCAAACCTGCCTTTGGGGGTGGTCGCTTTTGAATCTGGGTATATTAGTTTTTGTGAGATTAAGTGATTTTAGTCCAGGATGATATACATGAAAGGGCCTGTGGTGTACTTTTAAGGTACCATATAAACTGAAGGGTGTTACCTGTTACTGTTATTAAGGAGACTTGAGCATTTTTTCAAATCTTCTCTGAGGGTGGCTTCATGGTAACTATTCAAAGCATCTGTTAAAAGCATATAACATCTGTTAAAAGCTTATATCTGTTATATAAGCATAGTATAATTTTACATTTAATATACGTGCAAACAGGGAAATCACAAGGCTTCAACTTGATTCAATTTTCTGGAAGGTCTGTAATCTCGTAGGGCCAATGGGTATGATTTTATAATGGTCTTCTGTTGCTCATTTACTTATTTAGGATTTGGGTTTTCAGTGCAGGATCCTTTGGCTTCATTTTGTATCTTTATGACTTCACGTCAACCATTTCTTTTTAGTATGGACTAAGCAGAATAAAGAAACTGAAAGACTCCTGCATTCATTCATTCAACAGTTACTGACAATCTAATCTTGTGAGGGCAGAGAGAAGACAATAAACTAACAAATAAGCACAAATATATCGTAGTGAATGATAAGAGTCCTAGTGTGGCGTGGTAGGAAAAGCCCTGGACTGCTAACCGCAAGGTTGGCGGTTCAAACCCACCAGCCACTCCTTGGAAACCCTATGGCAGGGTCACTATGAGTAGGAACTGACTTGACAACAACAGAGAATGATAAGAGCAGTTGCTTGGTGGTTTAAACCCACCCAGAGGCACCTCAGAAGACAGATCTGGTGAGCCAGTCCTACAAGGTTTTGAGGATCCTATGGAAGCATTCTACTCTGCACAGAGGGTCACCACACGTCAGAATCAACTCGACGGCAACAGCAAAGTCAAAATAAAGCAAACTGATGTGACAAGAGCGTGATGAGACCACTCTAGCCTGAAGGAAATGACCTTCCAGTTGGAATATGTGAAATTCATCTATTTTACTCATTTTAGAGCTCTAATTTTAATTAAAAGAATTAGTGTTATAGGTTACAAGGTTTTGTGGTGAATATAATTTGCATGAAATTGGAGGCTAATTATTAAGAGTACCAAGAGTTTTACTGAAGACTTGAAAAAGTTAAACCAGCAACCAGAGTTAACTGCTAACAAAGGGAGATTAAAACTGGCAAAGAACACCTATGTGTAATACTAAATCCACACCTTACAAATTCTCTCTCCTTATACCTTTCAAGGATAATGAACAGTACCAAGAATCTGAGAACCAAAGTTAAAATCTCACGGTGCAATTTTAGCACTGTGGGTCCTGGATTCACTGGCTCCCAAAGAAAAAGATGGGACCTATTAAAAGCTAGATCAAAAGGCGAACTGTTGTTCTGACAGTGGAAAAAAAGAGGAAGATGAAAGGAAGGCCCCTATGTATAAGAGCTGCTTTTAACGTTTGCCAGTCCTGCTCTTGGTGCGGCAGTCGGAGGCTATTCAAGCAGCTCAGCTAGCCTTGCAGGCCTCTGTGTGGCAAAGTGACATTGCCAAGCAGATACGGTCAGAGAACACATGTAACACAGCACCTGGATCTTTGCTGTTTAGAATATAACTGTCACCTACAACTTCTACTCTAAGACTGTTGGGTCTTCGGCATGCATTAATCAGTTCTTTTCCATCTGTAGTTTGCTTTTTTAAGCCCTGGTGCCCTTTAGTTTGCATATAATAAGACTTTTTGGTTGATATCATCAGAACTTAAAATATCTATATATCTATATATGTAATTATATAATGCCTAAAAGCACTGGGCTGTGAGCCACAAGGTTAGTGGTTCAAGCCCACCAAACAGCTGCTCCTTGGAAACCCTGTACAGGAGCGCTATAATTTCTTTACCCTAACTCAGGAGTTTGCAAGCTTTCTGTAAAGGGCCAGAGAATAAATGTTTTAGGCTTCATCAACCATATGGTCTGTGTTGCCGTACTCCACCCTGCCATTGTAGCTGGAGAGCAAAAGGCCCTTTTAGATAATCCAGAAATGAATGGGTGTGACGTTGCCATAAGACTGTAGAACTAGGTATGAGGTGGAGGGTTGGATTCTTTGGCCCATAGGCCCAATGCTGACTCCTATTATAAATCAACATCACTTAAAATGGTTTCCTTCACTATCTCAGCCATCAAACTGATTCCATCATCTAGAATCCCCATAAGACAAATAGAATTGCTGCTACATACGGCTTTATCATCTTTCTCTGGCAGAGCGGGTAGTGGGTTTGAACCAATGATGTTCTGTTAGCAATCCAACACTTACCCTACTGTGCTACCAGGGCTCCTTTTCCTCGGAACACTAGTCCTTAATAGCCTACCAAAAAAGTCGTTTGGAAACAGCATCTGTATGTCCCACTTGGAGCTATACAATGTATGTTCTCATTAAAGTCTCTCAGAACTCCCCTAGTAAAGATGGCTTGCCTATATTTCATTCAGCATCCCATGAAACTAGAGTCCCTCAGGATACTCTGAGAGATACCAAAACCAAACCCCAATCCCACTGCCATCAAGTAGATCTCAACTCAGGGATCCTATGGGGCAGAGTGGAGCTGCCATGTAGGGTTTCATAGGGACTTCTAGTGTGCTGTTGTAGGATAAGCACTAGACTGTAAGATCAGTTTGAACAGCAAGGTCAGTGGTTCAAACCCACCAACTACTCAGAAGCCCTATACAAGGTGGCTATGAGTCAGAACCGACTCAATGGCACTTAACAACAATCTTTAGGGAAGCAAACCACCTCATCTTTCTCTCCTGGAGTGGCTGGTGGGCTCAAACCACTAAGCTTTTGGTTAGCAGCCAAGTGCTTACCCACCACATCACCAGGGCTCTTGAGAAAGTGCACCCTACATGATTCATGAGTGATCAGGTCATAACCCAGCATGCTGTGTGTGGTGTTCAACTGCCTTCAGCTTGGTTCTGACCATTCTCCACCACCCTATTCCAAGAAGTCTGATAGCAGGAGTTAGGAATCAGTGTACGGCTGATCCCTATCCCTCATCAGGCATAATGCTAGCTTCAGAACATTTTCTAAAATCACAGGTACCAATTAAACAACAGATGGTCTCTTATTCAGGGTACATGTTGCCATGGATGGAAGGATGTTGTCTTCCAGAAGTTGGGTGGCTAGTATGCTCATAGCACATACCTCTGGAGATTTGGGCATGATGAAACAAGCCATCAAGGGATAGTATTAGTATAAATCCTGGAAGAGGCCTGTGGCCATTTTTCCTCCTATATTTGCATGTAAAGTAAGCCCTTCCTCCTTGTTTTCTAGACCTTATTCCCATCAGGATACCTCATTCCTCTCACCCAGTGCTCATCCCTGGGGGCAGAGTCCATGTTGTCTAGTAAAGAAAACTCAGGTACACCTTCCCCCAACCACCGGCTCTACAGTTCTCCGATCGCAGGTGAGTACACGTAAGGCACTCTTCAGATGTGGGTCAGCCTCAAGTTGACTTCAGCCTTGTAAACTTCTCAAACAAATGCCTGCACTTTTAAGATATTTTCCCCCCTTTCTTTCCAGGTGTTATTCCAGTGACATCACCTGAACTCACTGCTGTTAATTTTCCCTCTTTTCATGTAACACCTTTGAAGCTAATGGTCTCACCAACTTCCGTGGCAGCTGTACCTATTGGGAACAGCCCGACTCTCACGTCTAGCCACCCCGTTCCCATCCAGAACCCAAGCTCAGCTATTGTAAACTTCACCCTGCAGCACTTGGGACTCATCTCCCCCAGTGTGCAGGTGGCCTCCAGCCCTGGACAGGGAACCGTTCCTGTGTCTCCAAGAATAGAGGCTATTAATGTCTTACCAGACAATGCAGGCACTCAGCAAGGAAGGGCCAGCAGGTATGACTCACCAGTCTCAGGCCGGAACCAATCAAATGGACAATCAGTTGCTGCAGGAGCACAGCAGGTGAGGATCTTTCCATTTAACTTACTTAGTTAATAATGTGTTTATTTACTGCTGTAGTCAATTGTATTTATGACGTATGTAATAAATAATTTTGTTACATATGAATTATAATGAGTAATAATATAATTTCCATTTTTTGATCATTAATATATTTCACTATTAAGCCCCAAATATCAGTATCCTGTAAGACTTGTTTGTGCTTTCCTTCTTTGGAGAGGAAAAAGGAGGGGGCGTGGTAAGGGACTAGATAGAAGGTCCACCTGCTGCTTTTGCCTTCGGAGACCAAGGAAGAATATCCAAGGAGTGTTTGTTATTGGGTTAGCATGAGATTTTTGTTTAACCTTAAAAAAATTGAGAAGTGAAACACACCCAGACTTACAAGTCTACGTATTTCAAGAAATGCTTGGTTCCCAACATGTTGCACGGACCATACAGTCAATGTAAAAGTGCTGAAACCTACATGCCTACATAGGTTTGACTTCTTTTTTCCTCCTCTCTTTCCACTCAGCCTGTTCCAGTGACACCCAAAGGGTCACAGTTAGTGGTTGAAAGTTTCTTCCGTACCCCAGGTGGACCAACAAAGCCAATGGTCTCCACCTGTATGGATTTAGATGGTGCCAATCAAACTTCATTAGGGACGCTCTTTGTCCCACAACGAAAACTTGAAGTCTCGACGGAGGATGTCCACTAACTGACAGATGTTGGCTTCTTTTTTCAAGAGCTGTTTAATAGGAAAGACACACACAGACTGATCTGGGAGAACATTCTCTGATAATGTAAATATGTTAGTAGATTACTATGTCCAAGCAGATAATTGTTATCATACTTATACACACCCAAACACATATCTAAATTTTCAGTCCTACCAAATAAATGTTGACCTAAGACATCAATTTTTAGAGAGAAAAAACATTCATCATTTCAACTGTGCCTAAGCTATGATGCAAAGTAAGTATATTAAAGTTTACTTCCCTTTGAGTAAATATTTGTGACTTGTCTAATAATAGCATTCTCTTAAATTTTGCACAAAGAAAATGCTGTGTGATGTATAATGTATGTTTTTTTAAGGAGGACTAAAGCTATATTTTTTTGTAATTTCTCTAATCCATTGTTATTACAGTATGTTTTTTTGTAAGGTGGGCAACAATTCCCAATCAAGTTTATGGAAAAATTATTTATAAAATGTATTTTTAATCATAAATTGTTCAAAATAAAAGTTCTATAAAATGTATTTATCATTTTCTTTTGGCCAGTTAGAGCAGTGTTGTTAAAAATTTAAATTTATCTAATCCCAATGCACATTCTTGGTAAGGAGATTCAGTTCCTGGGTTCCCCTTAGATATTCAAGGTTTGTCAAATGTTTCTACATTCTTCCCCCTTTTGATCCACGTTATTGTCCCCAATTTTACAGAGGCAAAATGGCTTTGGAGAGTCTGTTGCTTGCCTCAGGGTACCCAGCATAGTCCAATGTGTTTTGCACCATGCCTGGGAGATGAGACTCAGGAGGCAGGAGCTGTGGTACCCTGGCCCCGGCACAAGTAGCATCTCTACCAGGCCAGGCTCCTTTCTCTTCCCAGAAGGGGCTGCAGCTGCTGGTCTCTTACTGCACTTCCCAGATGCCCCTGCTCCAGGGATGGAAAAGCAGCAATGAGGATTAAAATGTCCTCCACAGTCAAGGAACTATCACACTAAATTCTCATGAGCTCCAAGAACAGGAATGACCTACAATGTATTAAGTGTGCATCTAACATGGACCCCCTTGTTGTGGGACAAAGTGCTCACCTGCACCATGGGAAGCTGCCCAGGTCAGATACATAAAGGATCATCATAGTGTCTACTTTGGGTATGTTTGATAGACTTCAGGCACTGTACTATACTTTTTAAATACATTATCTTTATAAGCTGGTTTGTGTTCTACTACTAACCGAAACCCTACACAGGATCGTTATGAGTAGGAACAGACTTAATGGCACTTAACAACAACTAGGCGAAAGGTTTACAGTTTGAACCCAGCCAGTGGTGCTGTGGAAGAATGGCCTGGCAGTTTGCTTCCATAAAGATTACAGCCAAGAAAACCCTATGGAGCAGTTCTCTGCAACAACTGAGGTTCCCTTGTGTTGAAATCAATAAGCTGAGACTAGGAGCTCTGGTGGTGTAGTGGTTATGAGTTGGGCTGCCAACCTCAAGGTCAGCAGTTCAAAACTACCATCGGTTCCATGGGAGAGAGATGAGGCGTTCTGCTCCCGTAAAGATTTACAGCCTCAGAAACCCTGTACAGGGTCACCATGAGTCGGAACCGACTCCATGGTACTTAGACAACAATGAGGTCGTTGGTTTATAGAGTTTAGAGCAACAAGATCAAACTACCAAGAATTTGCAAAGACTCAACCCTTATCTATTGGACCTGTTGGGCCATTACCCTCCATCTGCCTCTGTATGCATTCTTTGCAAATGTAACAGAAACCCAGTACATGTTACAGGGTAATTTAAGCATTTTATATTGACCAAGAAACTCCCAGAGTGTCTTTGCCTTTAGTGTGATCCTACTTGGAGGGCATGTAAATGTTCCTTGGTGTATTGATAACTTAAATCCACAAACTGACTGCCGAGATGGGTGATAAGATGGATATTAAAGTTAATAAATAGCTCCTGACTTCAAGTTGTTTATAGTTGAGAACCACCATTCATCTGCAACTGGTACTGTGGTGGCTTGCATGTTGCTAGGATGCTGGAAGCTATGTCACTGGTATTTTGAGTACCAACAGGACCACCCAAGGTGGGCAGGTTTCAGTGGAGCTTCCAGACTAGGAAGGAAGAGCAGACTATTGAACGTTAAACCGCTGAAAAACCTATGAATAGCAGTGCAACGTTGTCAGGTAGAGCGCCAGAAGCCCCCTCGGGTTGAAAGGCTCTCAAAGTATACCAGCTGCCTTCCTCATAATGGCGTGAATGGAGCAAAGCTTTTGGGACCTTCATTTGCTGATGGGGCACACAACTCAAAGTGAGGAGAAACAGGTGCAAACATCCATTCATCATCAGAATGTGGAAAGTACAAAGTATGAATTTAGGGAAATGGAAATTGTCAAAAGTGAAATGGAATGTATATAGATGGCTTTCATTAAGTGAGCTGAAATGGACCAGAATTGGCTATTTTGAGTTGAATACTCATGTTTTACTATTCCAGGAATGACAAATTCAAGAAGAATGGCATCATATTAATCCTCAAAAAGAATATTTCAAGATCTAGAAGTAAAATGCTGTCTGTGATAGAACAGTACCCAAGTGATTTTCATGAGTCAGAAAACAAAAAGGGAAGAACTGAATAGTGAAGGAGTCTAGGGGAAAAGGACTCCTGGTGTGGTGCTGCAGGAACCACAAAGTTAGCAGTTCAAACCCACTAGCAGCTCCTCATGAACCTTATACAGGTTTGCTATAAGTCAGAACCGACTCAACAACATTACAATGGACAAAATATTGAATGACACAGGAAGCATCAAAAAATACACAGAATCACTGACAAAAAGAATAAGATCAACCATTTCAAGAGGTGCTGTATGATCAAGAACTGATGATATTGAAGGAAGAAGTCCAAGGTTCACTAAAGGCATTGGTGAAAAACAAGCCTCTAAGGAATTGATGGAATACAAATTGAAATCTTTCAACAAACTAATGCAGCACTGGAGGCACTTATGTATGCCAAGAAATTCAGAAGAATTCTAACTGGCCAACCGATTGGAAGATATCTAAATCTGTGCCTATTCCAAAAAGAGGTGACCCAATGGAATATGGAAACATCAAATATCATTAATATCACATGAAAGTAAAATTTTGCTGAAGATAATTCAAAAGTGGCTGCAACAGTACATCAACAGAGAACTGCCAGAAATTCAAGCCAGTTTCAGAAGAGAAGGTTGTTAGGTGCTATTCAGTTGGTACCAACTCATAGCAACCTTATTATGCACAGCAGAACAACACTGCCTAATCCTGGGCCAACCTCACTACATTTGCCACACTTGAGTCCATCGATGCTGCCACCTGGCCAA